ATTTGAAAGTCATCACAGCGTCATTTATGTAGAGTCTATCGCTGACCTGCAGCCAATTCAAGGATTTGATGCCTTGTGAGATATGGTCGTACTTTCGCAGTCCCAATACAATACGTGCAGCAAAATTTTGCACCAACTGTAATTTCTCGATGATAGACTTGCTTGTGTTCGACCAGACTGAGAACAGTAAAACAGCTTACTGAAGATAAAAGAATCCATAAGTAGAAGCAATGTCTTCTTATCCAATAAATGCTTTATCTTGTTTATTTCTATCAGTTTGTGCATGCAGTTAGAAGCTGTTTTTGTAACGTGATCGCTGTAAGTTAAAGATGTCAAAGTTGATGCCAATTTTATCAGTAGTCACTTCATGAGGATTAAGATAACTCGTCAAGTAGAATATAAAATGCCAAATTGTCGGAATTAACGTGTAAAAATGCATGTTATAATTAATTAAGCAAGTAAATCAATGACTGTAGGTCTTCCATGATGGTCAAGTCAGCCATTATCTTGATGGCAGAGATGAAGCTAATTCCAGCTGGATGCGGTTTGTTCGTTGCGCAAGGCACAAGAAAGAACAAAACATGGTCGTGTTTCAATATCATGGCTGCGTTTATTACAGGACCATCCGGGAAATTCTTCCTGGTCAGGAGTTGCTTGTGTGGTACGATACCAGGTATTCACAATTCATGGGGGTACCTGTTGCGCTAAGCGACTCGGGGAGTAGAGGTAAGTGTGCTTGTGTTATATGGCATTTTAATACAGGTAAACCACCCAACCATCCCCCTTGATTCCTCTGTGCTGTTGTGATGCCGCGAATGCTTTGTGCCGCGCAATGATTAAAAGTTCTCGTCATCATTAACCTCGTAAAGTATATGTGAAATAATTCATATTTGAACTGCGGTTGTAGATGAAAGTAAAGAATAATCATCGCAGTAAATTTTCCAATTTAAGCAATTGGAAAGAAGAAGCCTGAAAAAAATCAGAGCTTTAACGGGATTCGAACCCGTGACCTCCGCGATACCGGTGCGATGCTCTATCAACTGAGCTATGAAGCCACACATTGGGAGCGCGGTCAATTAATTGAGTTCATATCTTCCCGTGAGCAGTGAAATGTTGTGAAGTATATATGAAATAATTCATATTTGAACTGCGGTTGTAGATGAAAGTGAAGAATGATTACAGTAAACACCCGCATATAAGAACACATGGATTAAGAACATCAGGCTGAAATTTGGCAAATAAAGCACCACTTTTATAAGAACAATATCAGCCTGGA